TTAATAGGTTTACGCGGGTAAATACACTTGACCCAAAAAGACTTCGTTTAACTTTGACAACTGGGGAGGATTTCAGGCGGTAAACTAAGAACCGAGCAACTGCATTAAGGCCCCGTTTGGTTCACGGAATGGATTTGAGGGGAAATCAATTCCCATGTCATTTCCCAAGGAATGGGAATGAAAGATTCCTTTCCCACGTTTGGTAATGTTGGGAAAGTAATCGGGAGATTTCACTTTGTTTCCTTTCCCATGTTTGTTTTGAGTAGGAATGGAAAACAAAGTTTGTATAATTTTCCAATTATATCCATATTAAATCAAATAAAAAAAGAATGCATTTAATGATACGTTGTAATTATAAATTGTTCATAGGGACAAAATAGTCATGAAAATTGTGCATTGAATGTTGGCTCATTTTCCCAAACTTTCCCATGAGGAGGGAAAACAAAACCCAAGTTAAGAGGGGGGCATCACTTTCCCCCCTACTTTCCCATGTGCCAGGAATCCATTTCCCATTCCCGGACTTACCAAACATGGGAAAGCAATTGAATTCCCATTCCGAAGCCTCCTTTCCCATGAACCAAACGGCCCCTAAATGTTGGCTAAGGAATCAAAGTTTACTAATTTATTTATCATATCTTCTTTCTCAATATTCAAGTAGTTTTTAAGGTACAGATGGGGAAGGCTTGGAACTTGGAAGGCATTGAAGAGTGGCTGATATTTTTGATTCAATGATGCATCTAACATGGGTTTGGTTTGGATGGTATGTGATTCATCAAAGTAAACTACCATTAAACCCAATTTTAAATGCATTAAACATTTTAGTAAACCCCACTTTGCACATGTATTGTAAAATATAAACAAAATAATTGAATCCTCTGGAATATAAAAATGGTTATTAATCAATTCACAAAACACAAAGACCATTCGAGAAGAAGACCCATAATTAGCCATCGGAGAAAAAGACTACATTTACAAAGTCTATGATGACCAAATTCATTAATATCAAAGTGTCAAGGGAACTCTTGATGCTAATTCAATCATGGTTGCTCTTTTTGGTCCATTGTTTTATGCTTTTATGAAGGGATTGTCTATACCATAATATTAGAGGAATTAAAAGAATTAAAATTTTAACCACCATATAATATAATGTGACAAATGTAAAGTAAGGTAGTCGATTTTTTTTTCCTTTTTTGGATAATAGAGAAGGGGGATTTAATTTTAGACGTCTTCGAACAAAATGGACATAATTATCACTAGATTTATAGAGTGGTCGTTGGAGTGTGACAATTTACTATGGACACAAAACATTAGTGGATAGACATTTCTTTTATTTATGCATATCACATTTTGATACATATATAAAATAATTAAAAATAAATAAATAATATATATGTATACATGCATGTTAAACTGCGACTCACAAACGAGAAAAGAGACAAATATTTTCTCTATAATAAACTTCTTCATCCTTATACCCAAATTGCAAAAATGGGAATTGTGCATCACAAGGTTAAACACGGTCATGAACATGGGAATTCTCAAGCCATCCAATCAATTTAGGGACTGAAAATAAGTGGGACTTAAATGGAGCATGTATCATGCAAAAAAAGATATAAAGGATATAGAGAAACACTTGTGTGGAACGAGGATAGCAAAACAGTGTTATTCTTAACCAATCACGACATATCATGCGTGATAATTTTTTTACATGTTAGTATGTGATTGATTGGGATAGCAAAACAGTGATATTCATATATCACTCAAGTTTTTCTTATATTGGATTGGACACGTGGCCACATGGGTATTTGTCGTGATTCGGATAGGAAACGAGAAACAGAAAACGTGGGTACATGGTAGCGGGACCACCCGTGGGTTTTTCTCTACCGACTCTGCTGAACAAGTCTCGTAAATAATTGCAACTTTGAAAGGAAAATGGACGTTTGCAAATTGCAAGTACGCGTTTTTGAATGCTAGGTGCTTGTGCTTCCACACGCTTTGAAGCAATGACCCAGTTTGCCATGCCCAAAACCCCAAAACACGAAGGAAAGTCCCTCTTCTCTCTTAGAAGCATCACCAAAAATAAATATAGAAAGAGTGAAAGTTTCATAGAAGCATAATTGTGGAAATGAGATGGACTCGGGACGGTGGTCACGTATGTAACTGCCAAACCCTACTAATCGTTGATACATACATCAACAGTTGAAAGTCATCCACACATAAGTGCCTGCCAAATATTTTTCTGGTGGGAATAGATAATGTGTGGGAAAAGGTATTGGGGTGTGCTGATCTTGGGCTTATTGTTGAGTTTTGCTCACATAAAGGATCCAGGGTTTTGAGTAAAAACCCTAAAAGAAGTTTTCAGAAGCAACAAAATCTAACAGTAATGTAGCTTGCAAGCAAAAATTCTGTAGCTCAGCAGCAACTGCGTCAGGCCCTCTGGCCTTGTGTGTTTCTCACGCAACTTTATTTCATTATCATGTCTCTGTCTTGTTTGTGCTTTTTCTAAAGTTGGATTTATATAGGGCTGAGAGTTTTTCTGTTTTCAGTATACATAACAAAAATTAAGAAAGTAGACCTTCTTTTCGGCTTTTGATTTTGTGATTGCTTCCCATACTTCCCACATGATACCTACAAAAGAATCGATCTTGCATTCATATGAGTCGATAACTTAGTTTAGATATTGACTAAGAGCAATACTATTAGATCAAGAGTTGGTTTACCGATGCTTAAAAAGCAAGCATTTGACATGTATCGGCCACAACATATTGAACAATGATGAACATGATTAGTTAGCACTTAGCACCACTAATTATTTTTGTTGAGAAGTTCGTAAGCACTACGTTAAACGTGATTTATTAATTCGTTTTGGTCAAGTCCCAACCCAAAAGTTGCCAACTGATCATGCCCGATCCACTACGACAAATAATCATTGTCTCTAATCTTCCATATTTTAATCGCCAAGATGGCCAGGCTTGTACCAACCATAATAATCACCATCACCTCTATATTTATTTGTTTCCACAACTAGAGATTAATGGCTCGTTAGAGAGTGATTTTGGGAGAGCTAAAATCATTTATGGAGAGAAGCACCTCTTACGTGCTTCTTCATGTAATCACTTTAGGTGATTTTAAGTGATTCTGGGAAGAACACTGCTTCCCTCCTTATCTAAAAGGAGACATTCCTACTTCCCGCAAATCAAAGTTTGACACATGCAAAAATAATTCATCAAAAACACAAAAAGAATAATCTCAACACACATGTCAAATTGTGATTAACACGAAAGTATGAGTTCCTACTTTCAGAAAAGGAGGCAAGTGTTTTCCTTTTGGGAAACCACTTAAAGTGATTATCCGTAGAAGTGATTATTGACCTATCCAAAATCACTCCCAAATGAGCCATAAGTGATGACCTCTCCTAATATCATTTGTATCAACACTAGAATAAAATAAAATAAAAGACAGACTTATTTTAGTGCACCTTATGAGATCTTTATTTCATTTTCTTTCAGAAAATTAGACTTAAAAAAGTTGGCATCCATATTCTTTTTCTAGACAAAAATCCAATAACTTGTTTTGGTCGGATGAGTTTAACCATTGACCAATCAGACAGTTGTCTTATGGGGGTTGGTGACTCGGTTTAAAACCACCTCATTAGCATTTACCAGCATATCAAAGTAGCTAATCTTTTAAAATACGTAGAATCGTTGAATCTGATTAATTTGTTTACATTCAAGTTTAAATTTATTCAGACCAACTGGTTTTTGGTCGGTAGACCAACTGGTTTGTTTGAATCTTTGACCCATTTAATCTCCACAAAGATGATGAAATGGGGGAAACATTGATCCACTGAAGTAATATAGAAACCAAGAGAGCACAAGAAAAATGAAGAGAAAAAAGCTTTTTTTTTCTGAGGTGTATTTGATGTGTGATAAATTTTGAAGAACAATGTGATGGGCAGAACTCACTTCAAAAAGGAAAATTAACCAACTGAAAAGAGCTGTGATAAAGGTGAGTTTCATGCCCTCTCAAGTTTTGGATTTCTCCACAAGAATAATCCGACCATTCCACTCAGTCTCATCTAGAGCTCTGATTGCAGCATCGGCATCTTCATCCCTTTCCAAGGTCAAGAATCCGAATCCACGTGAATCTCCAGACCTAAGAAGAACAACATAATATGCATAACAAACTCAACCCAAAGAAGAAAGCAATAGAATGCATCATCAAGTATCAATGTCAAACACCTCATTGTTATCGTATGCAAGTATAAACTGCACAATTACCTTTTGTCTCTAACAATACGAACATCTCGTACTCGGCCATACCTAGAAAACTTCCTTTCCAGATCTCTCTCTGTAGTCAAAAAGCTAAAACCTGCAACAAATAAATTTCTTCCAGGTTTCCCTAATCCAGTTTTCCTATTAGGTGGTGGTGACCATGGTTTCCTTCTAGGCGATCGGTGACGAGAATGATTCTTTGGAGAAGGGGACCTTTGCATTGGAGAATGCCTTCCCCTATTGCAAGTTAAAGGACAAAATATTAGGGGACCAAACTAGATGATAAAGAGACAGAGACAGACAGATGGATAGATGGACAGATAAAGACCTTTGCTACAACCAAAGAGTGAAAGGTCCACTCATTAAGCTCCATATCCATTTAATTTTAAAACCTTGTACTATTCAATGTAAAGAATCCTGAGTTAACGGTAATGCATATGAGATAAGGAATCTTTTTGACATATTTCAAAAGAACAAGAAAAGTTGTTCATAGAGAGCTAGTTCCCACCATATATGATGTTTGATGAAGGTTTGATGTGTTAAAATCATATTTTCAGGAATTTGGGCAGAAACATAGGTGTTTCAAAAATGCAGTTTTCTAACTGCTGAGTTGGTCATTGGATGGGAGTACCAAATGAAAGATAAACCAAAACTTTCACTTTCAGATGTCTTACAACTTGTTCAAATTATTAAATTGTTGCCATTTGAAACTGACACTAGTAGAATTTTAACATAAGATAACAGAGAGGCTATAGAAGTTAACCTTGTCAATCTATGATGAGCTCTTGAATATGGGGACCTTGATCGAGATCTCTCACGATAAGCCCTCTGGTAACCATAAGAATCTCTATGCCGAATGGGTGATCGTGACTCCAATCTGTCCCTTCTCCCATAATTTGATTGTGAGCGATGGGACCTTGGGGGTGAGCGATGGGACCTTGGAGATGAGCGATGGGACCTTGGGGGTGAGCCATGCGACCTTGGAGATGCAGATATGTGCTTCAGAGCAGAACTATCCCTATGGTGGGAAAATTGTCGAATGCCCTGTGTAGGCGGGAGATAATGATCAGGTGAAGAAATATGTTGGCTATGTGATCTTGGTGCAAGTGATTGGTCTTGAGAACCTTGATGAGAAGGCAAATGCTCATGGTTATTGGGCAAGTCGCATGATGAAGGAGAATCTTCAGGCGAAAGTGACATTTGTCTTTTTATTCTAGGAGATATTGATCCTCTGGCGATTCTTCCGAGAGATTGAATATCAGAATTGCCGATGCCTGGGTTATTGTTCTGACCTGGCGACTCATCTTTCTTATTTTCATTATCCCACCTGTGTAACTTAGGAGATGATAACAATTGCTCTTTCCATTGATCACTAGCTTCCCTTTCTACTTCATGAATGAAAGGCTTAACTGATTCATATTGTGACCTCTCGGAAAAAATCATTTTCGCTCTTCCAGCATGAGGTACAGGAGTAGGCCTACCCATGTTAGAATCGTCCTCTCCCACTCCCTGGTTTGCACGTTCTGTCAGAGGAGACTCCTGTGAATGAGCAGAATCTTCAGTTCCCATTTCAATATGGAAAGTTTGCGACTTAGATTGAGAGGAGGGATTAAGAAAATTACTGCCATGCAACTCATCCATCTCACCTTGGTAATGGTTATTGTCCTCGAATGGAGACTCAGTCCTCTCTCGCTCATGGGCAAATTTTGTTTCAATGGCACTGTCTTGATCAGATTCAGTTGGGACAGGGTAAGATTTTTCCGGAAGAGATTCTGAAGTTTCATATTTGAAATCTACATCTGCATGGATTGAGGGGGGACTCTGTTGCTCATGTTGTTTCAGATCCTCATTGAAACAATCCCTTCTTTCAAAGCTCTTTTCATCAGCATAACGATAAGCCTTTTCTACATTATCAACTGCAAAGTTAAGGTCTGATTCTCTAGCCAATGTTGAATCATCCATGTTTTCCATGTGCTCTCTAGTAAAACCAGTATCCCTGCAATTTATTCAATCATAATAAGTAATAAGCATAACATACATCTGTGCATACAACTGAAAGAAATCATATTCAAGTCCCATGTGCAAATTTTGAGGCAAAACTGAGTCATATTTAAACCAATTAAAACTGCAACTTGTAAACTATCATTTTGTAAAGCGCAATTCCATTATATTTAGAATTGAAATGAGCAATTCTTCGTTACAACTGATAGAAATTGGTGGGGTCTCAATTCCCCTCACCTTCACTCCAAAAGAAAGTGAACAAAAGATTACCATTGTAAAGGAACCTTTTCTAATATAATTGAAGCTAAACATGCCATCTAGAACAAGTTAGCATTGTGAAAAATATTAAAACGTTACTAATCCATTTAGAATGCAAAAGATTAATCATGGTAACAACAAACATCAATACACAACAGTTCTCCAATTCAAGCCAAAAGGCACTACAACTCAAATTCTACACACGAGAATCAGGACACATTTTCACAGCTAGAATGATGTAGTAATTTCAATTTGGAACCATTTTTGGAGCATAACTACACAGAAACTATTCTCTTTATCCCTCACCAGTCTCATGCAGCTCTTCTCAACCCTTAATTTTCCCACTTTAGGCCCTACACAACTGTAAGTAAAAGAATTCACAACTAAGTACAATTTATGTATTCACCTGCAGACGCATCATTCTCAACTTTTTTCCAGTAACCATATATGTAGCCATACTTATCACTTCTGAATTCTTTCAATACGAATCGAATACAACAACCCCCTAAATTCTCTACATGCCAACTTCTTTCAATGATAACACTCCAAAAGAAAACCATTTCCAACATACTACTAAATACCACAGATAAAGCCAAGTTCCACAATGTAACGTTTTCACATCATTCTTTGGGAGCCCAAGACATCCCATATACAAGTGAAACAGTTTTGCTGCAGTTTTTGATACCCATCATCTCAAAGACAATTATAACTTAACGAAAAACCAAAAGAACAATAATTTAAACAAAAAGATTGAAGCATCTAAATTTGAGACCCTATGGTGTCCCATATTATCTCAGCATTTGTGAAAAAAAAGCTATGGCCCACAAACTTAACTGAAAAACAGAAACCTTATTCTGAATTTTTCAGCAAAAAAATAAAAAACTTTATTCTGAATTCACAGTCGCTAACAAAGGTACCAATACGAAAATAGCATTCTACATGTCAAATTTTAATTCTGCACAAATATTAAAAATTAATACCCTACACTCCTAAACGGACACAACATACAATCCAATTCCAGGGAAAAAAAAACAGAGAAAAAATTGAACAGCAGTCTTGTACTTTTAATAAAAAATAATTATACGTGATAAGATAGTTGAGATATTACGTACCTTTTTGGATTTTTTTATATGCGAATTTTGCTTCTTAAACACTGCTGCACAGATTGAGCTTCGACTGGTCTTTAATGGCTGAAAGCAGAACGGGAAGACGAAAGAAATTAAAAGGAAGTTATGTTTTACGTTTTGTCGGATCTATGGGCGAACTCAAATAAAATTGAAAACTTGTTTTGGCGTCCGTTTCGGGTTTCTTCAAGCACCATGATAAAAGGGGTGAAGTTTTCTTTAGACACCAAAAATAAACTACGAGTATCACAAAAATATCTCCTAAATAAAGTAAAAATAATCTTTTTTGTTCCCCAACTATTTAAAAAAAAAAAGAAGTTATGACCCAACACTAAAAATATTTTGTTGCATTTATCTAAGGACAAAATTTTAAAAATTTGGGAAAAAAAATTCGATGTTAGGCCTCCCAAGAACAAAGGGTCCCCATAAAGTCGCATTATCCTTGATCTTTTTCAACATTTCAGAAGTAAGGGAAAGTTTGATGAGTTTGGTATGGGTTGGGTATTCAATTTGTGTGTCAATAGGTAATTTTATATAGGTGTCTACAAAGTCTTGCTTGCATCATCCAATCTACAAAGTCTCGAATCACCCACCCAAAACCTCCCATATTTGTTTGCGCCACCCAAGCCCCATCACAATTTGCTTTCATAAAACCATGCCGAGGTTTTTTCCTTACCACATGGACCTGTTTAGCTTGGTCAGGGCAATGGCGAAGCCAGGATTTCATGTGTGTGGGGGCCTCTTACAAATTATAAAGAATCAAAAATTCGAACTCACAATACATATGAAAATAGTATATATATCACATATGTCAAGAATTATATTGCTTATTGGTTGCAATCATAATTGTCCTCAACAAAGGGATAGACAAATACATTCTGAGCAAGAAAAATTGCAAGAGATAGACAAAGAGTAGCGATTTAGCAAATATCTTTAAAGCTTTTCCCCCCATTAAACCCAATAGAAAGAAAAAAAAAAATCAAAATTTCACAAACTTTAAAAAACCTTAGGTCGCTTCATGCATTCTTATCATACATGGAAAAATATTTTATGTAAAAATATTGATTAAGTATGAAAAATGGTTTTTCTGAATAATCATTTTCTCAAGATAATTTTTGGCGGCTTTTATTCCTTACACATCAAATAAGAAAACTTGATTTTATGGGATTTTAGTATGAA